TACATACATACATACATACATACATACATACATACATACATACATACTAACATAACATAACATAACATAACATAACATAACATAACATAACATAGCTAACTATGAGTGCATATGCTTCCTATTTCTCCCAGCTGCTGCTGAGCTTCGTCGTCCTTGTACCAGCAAACGGTGAGAACCGTGGCTGGCACACCTGCATCAACGGCAATTATATTCAACATGCAGACACGCCGTGCAAAAAAGATCAAAAAATATGTCAAACACCAAGCAATGACCAAATGTGCCATACATAGTAAACCACAAGTCCTCTCTCTTCGGCCCTTGGGTTACATCTCTGCACACCCACAGTCATTATGAGGCACAATGTCCAGAAAGTAGCGTTCAAAAGAATGGAGCATATAGAGGCACATCCAAGGGTCGCACCACGTTGATGATGGTAGAGCACTTCTTTGGGGTAATGCCAGTGTCACCTGCAAGAGGCTGAGCGCATGGCTAAACAGTCGGGCTAAACAGTCGTAGTGTTTCTTTAAGAATTGGATCCAGCTCAGCTTGACACGAACATGGTGAAGCGGTAGGAAATTCAAGCATGGAGCCCAGAAAGGTGCAACAAATTGACAAATTGAGATAGCTATCATCCCAATCTGCTGGTGACCTCCTATGCGTGGAACAACCTGCTTCTTGCAAAGCTCGATTAGCTTGATCCATTGACCAACAAGTGATTTTAACAAATGCAAAGAGATTTGGTCCACCAGGCAAGATATGCCTTTGTAGGTATGAATAGAGCGGTTTGTGCGTTGGCCAATGGGTATGCCAAGTTTTGTCAGAGAAGTCAAACATAGGGTTGAAGGCTGGCCATCCAAAGAGTTGCTCTCGCTATACCAGCATGCCATCGCTTGAGCCTTCAGCTGGTATGAAGGACTATCAATGAAATGCCGCCTAGCAAGCGTGTGTATATAACCAACGCTTTGCAATTGGAGCTCTATTCATGATGAGATGGGACTCTTGGAGTTCACTGGCGCACAAAGCAAATCATTACTACATACCGGTCCGAAAAGAAACTGCAAACCAACCAAATCAACAAGTGGTGAGCAGCGCAACGTGTAGGGTGCGTGTGTGTGTGTGTGTCACACTCTGTTCCAAAGAGTTTCTGTTCGGTTCATATCGCAGGGGGGCCAGCGGCCGACAAGCAAACGCTGGCTAACAAAGCTATGCTTGCTCGGTGGATGCGGTCAGAGCGTCTGACCGTGTACCTGCAAAGAAACTGTTGCTCACCCTGTCCACTCCTTTGTTTGTTTTCATGGTCCTTGCACGATATACCCCAAAACCCTTTGCCCACCGCCGACTTGCAGCCGACTTGCCGCCACGCTGAGTGTACAGATCGGGTTTGAGTCCACCTGCAAACAATGTTCAACAATACTTTTCCGCGGACTCTGCCACCTTTTCCGTTCTCTCATCCATTTCCTCATGACTACTGTATTCTCAAAATGAAAAGCCGCCGGGCCTCACGGATTTGCGACTGATATCAAAACCGCCGGGTCAACGGAGAATAAGCCCCGACATGTTCTCCACCCCAACCCCTCCCCCCTCTAATTAGGGTAACAGAGGGAAATGGTACTCGACACACTTGTGTGTCGGTGCCTTCCCCTCTGTTGCCCCTTTTCTAGTCTACTCTACCCGGGCGGTATAAGACTAAAGTCCCGCTCCCTAACTATTGCACTTAATTCATTTCTGCTAAGTAGTCAATAATTCTAGAGGGCTAGGTAGTCAGACACACACACACGGACACACACATGTACATACACCTCCCTGCCCCCCCCCCGCTTTCTTTCTTACGCTCGTTTCCCTACCCCAGTCAAGGGCTAAGTATTCACTTTTTCGCTACACCTATCTTTCTCTCTTGCCCTTTTAGCGCTGCTCTTTCTGGTTTGCCTTCTCTAAGGCTTTTTAAGTGCGTACTTAGGTTTTCCGCGTGTGCGCCGCGAAGCGGCTGAGTGTGTGTGTGTCACACTCTGTTCCAAAGAGTTTCTGTTCGGTTCATGTCGCAGGGGGCCAGCGGCCGACAAGCAAACGCTGGCTAACAAAGCTATGCTTGCTCGGTGGATGCGGTCAGAGACGTCTGACCGTGTACCTGCAAAGAAACTGTTGCTCACGCTGCCCACTCCTTTGTTTGTTTTCATGGTCCTTGCACGATATACCCCAAAACCCTTTGCCCACCGCCGACTTGCAGCCGACTTGCCGCCACGCTGCGTGTACAGATCGGGTTTGAGTCCACCTGCAAACAATGTTCAACAATACTTTTCCGCGGACTCTGCCACCTTTCCGTTCTCTCATTCATTTCCTCGGGGAATTGATGCAACTGCAAACCCATTGTCGAAGTGTGTGTGTTGTGTGTCGCGCCCTGTTACTAAGGGATTCTCACAGGCGTCTCTCCTTCTCTCTCCCTCTCTCTCTCACTCTCTCTCTCTCTCTCTCTCCTTGTTTTCCCTAGTTGACTATTTGTCTATAGCAGGGGGTGCCAGAGATGCACACTGGACTGGCAACGAAGACACCAGTGTTGCATCTGTGAAATCGAACCGGGACGCTGGATCGACGTACCTGCATTTGTCCAACCGTTTTCAAGCTGTAACTCCAATCTTCCTATAAAGTGCTAACGCGTTAGTTCAACATTTCTGTGCCACTGACTCATCGCCACGCCGTTCTTCCAGCCAAGGTCTAACTGCAGTAAACTTTGTTGAGTCGTTTTCTGAAATTGTGCTCTTTCGAGCTCTCTCGCTCTCTCTCTCTCTCTGTCTCTCTAAGTGTGTGTGTGGGTGTGAGAGAATATATAGTATGCTCAAAAGCACAGAAGACTTGATATTTAGAGGAGCTGTAGCAGTCCTGTCTGAAGCTTACTGCCTTTTTCGGTATCCATTCAACAGGCAAACAATGTCAAACTCATTAACTGAGCACTGATCGCACTCACTTTATTTCAGAGGGTGTTCTTTGTCACCCTCGCGGTATAGTACATTCCGTAGCCGGGGCCTGAACCTACTGTAGACGAAATCATAAATGATCGATTAGATTAGATTGCATATTGCTGTCCTTGAACATAATCATAAGTCTTTGAACAGAATCATAATATAGTTGTGTTTCCACATGTTTTTAGCATGGTCATCTGAGAAACAGTCTGCACCTGAAGGCACAATTGTAGCCTTATGGTAACTGCGGACGATAACACAAGACGTGCGGCACACACTCCATGCGATATTCAATATAAATTATCACGATTAAGGGCCTATCACGTGACTCGACTTTGACATTGAATCTATTGATGGGATACATATCAAACAAACCTGCAAGATTCTGTGAGAAGCTCTATCATTCTTTGTGCTTTCTGATTTCTCAACTATGACACGTTGCACATCTTGAATGGATGTGGTGGCACCCGGCCAAAGGTTATGCTGCGTGATGGATCTCACTCGTGGAATGGCACGCCCTCAAAGTGTTCTTCAGCAAGTCTGCATGGGGGGCGCTCCTGCAAGAAAGTACGGAGTGCAAAGGATCAGCTGATGGATGGAGGAGAATAGACAAACTCCAAAAAGACACAGGGCCAAACTTGGTCAAAGAAACTATTGCTTCAAGGAAGACCTCACTCCATTGTCAATCCTCATCACTTCTCCGAACACGGCCATTGATATCAGCAATGTGGCTCAACACATTTTGTCACAGAGTTGCATCTCATATCGTCATATGTTGTGGCTTGCTATATCAACCTGAATACACATTCATCTCTGGGCAAGTCATCAGGTTGCTTGCCTCAAAGTTCACTGTCTGATGCTTCTTCTTTCTTGCGCGGCTGTTGAGCATTCGCTGCTGGTCGGAGAGCGCCTTGTAACGGCTTCGATGCCACCAAAGAAAACGAACACGGATGTTGATCAAAGAGGCCTCACCTTTACTCTCAGCAAACCACAAAAAGATACAAATAGTCAAATAGTGTTGGATAGTGAGGTTGTTTCACTCAGGATAATTCATTCAATGCGCGACTTCATCCCTGCAAATTGTCAAGGGTTCATTGTCTTTCTTGTTGATCAAACGCTCTCGCTCTCTCTCTCTCTCTCCGTAGATAAAGTTCATCTTACAACAATGAACCCTTGACGAGTCTCTCGAGTTTTTGGCATCCTCAGCCAGTCCGTTTCCCTGTCATCCTCCTGTATGCGTTGCTCAGCGAACCGATCTGCGCGAAGAGCACTGAGAAGCTCGTCTGCTTGTTCCTGCCAACGTCTATCCAAACGAGTCGAAACAACAAACTTTTGCTACAGCAAACAAGTAGCTTAGGCTTAGCTTCAAAAAAATCATGAAATATCCGATAGCCTACATCTATTCAATTTATCCTACGGTCCTACACAATGTATCACAAGGCAATAATGGGCAATATATGGCAATATGCATCTTGGAATTTTGTGGAACCACATTCTACAGTAATTGAATGGACTTGCTGCGACTCACTTCGCGAGCCTTCTTGAGCAGTTCGTCCTTCTTTTGCTCTTTCCGCAACAGCTGATCCTTCCAAGTTGTTTCTCAGTCCCATCAGTCCGAAATCAGTCTGTGTCAACCCAGCAACAGGATTGCCCGAAACCACGGCGGATTCATGAGAAGCAAAGCTCATCAAAGCTCCCTGAGAAGCAAAGCTCCCGTACAGGGTGATTCACGTGCTTCTGTCCCGTCCCTCCTGGTTTCCTTGGCTCTGTCCCTTCTCCGTCCTGGGACTGCTGCAAAGTCTTCAAGAGCTGCTGAAGCAAGACCTAGTCATGAGCTGTCAAAGCGCTCAAAGTGGACAAGGTTGGGTTTGTCGGGCGGGTGGCTTGCTCAAGGTTGGGTGCCTTCTTCTGCAGCAAAGAGCCTTCCTGTGGGTGTTGCTGAATGTAGCAGTATCTGGCCTGGCAGTGGGGCATCATCGTCGTTGCAGCAAAAATGTCAGCACCAATGAAGCGGCTGCTGAGTTCGAGCAGGTATTTGAAAGCACAGGTGCAATAAAGGTCTTTTGCGACGCTTAGGGGAGCAACTTCCATACAGTAATAGGTTCACTCCCAGCACAAAAATTGTGATCGTAGAATCTCATTGCACTTATATGCTTATTAACTGGGGAAACTCTTGCGTGTCCCAGGAATTTGCACCAAGCAAAATAAATGACTCAGGTGATTGCTAGGAGACGCCCGATTGTCTGGAAACATGAGAGGAGCGCCATCAAAGGCAGCATCAGCACCTGGCGCTCTATGGAAACCACACAAGCACATTGTGTTCGACGCCATCTCATTTAATGGACAACAGCGAAAGCAAATAACAAGTTGAAGACCCGCCAGTCTTTTGTGCGGCCTGTCCAACGTCATGAGCACTCTCCTCGCCCTGTCGCGTGAAATGTATAGGAAGTAAGAAGGCATCAAATCCCTCGCGCTTGTTTGTCGACATCCACCTGCCGTACTTTTTATTTGCTGTCATCTGAAAACTTGCAAACATGATTTATCTTTAGACTGTCTGATGCGATGTGAAAACAATATACATATATATATATGTAAATTGTATGCGTCAATAAATGTATGGATGAACTTGGCACCCCATGGGTAAAACACTCTGCACTGTTCAAGCTGTCAGTGTCCCTACGAGGCTCTGGCTAAGTCAGAGAGCTGCCTGCAGCAAGGTTGGTACGAGCTGGTACTATGCTGGAAAAGGAAGCCAGTTCAATGATGATTCCGCTGGGAATCTTTGATCAGGGCAGTGACCTCAGTATCACCTGCTTTGAAGGGGCTCTTTACCCAGTTGACAAAGGATACCGCCACAAGGCCAAGAAACTCTGGAATAGAATCCGGTAAGCAGCACACCTTCTATGCTCCAACTTTGGTCATGGCCTCCAGTACCCGTGCAATTAAAGCGCTTTCTTTAACAAGGTCTCGTGTCTAGTATGGTTGTTGTTTATCTGTTCAAATGAAAACTCTGATATATAGGATTACAAGCTCTGTCTTACAAACTATTCCAGAATGGAAATTGGAATTCAGCTGATTCACGCCTCGGTCCCATGAGTGCCATGGTGGAGTTGGGCGAGTGCTGGGTGGAGAGCACTGGTACTGGAGAGAAACTGCAAGAGAATGCGACGGTCAAAAGCATTGATGTGAGTATGGATGGCGGTTTGACGACAAAACAAAACTAAAAAGGAGTTTGATCTGGTGTTCTTGTAGTTTTAGCGTTTTTCTGTGAAATCCAAGTCCCTTGGCCACCGAAAAAACTGAGGAGCCAACAACACACGATGTTTATCAGTGGTTTGATTTCCGGCAAGGTTTACAGTGCAAAAGGCTGATGATCTCGGAACTAACAAAAAACAAAAAACAAACAACATCGACTTTTGATATAGACAAAACTCCAAGTGCAAACAACAAGTATCAAGGGAAGCTCCTAGATAGGACGCAGTGGTATGACGATGATTGAGGATAATTGATGCGCGTTGGATTTCAACGATTTCGCGTCGTCCTGGCCGACTGGGCGTCTCCAGCTCAGTGTGTCGACACCAGGCTTCCACCGCTAAAGCCAGGGCCTCGGAAGTGACAAGGCCCAGGCCGTTCCAAGTCGAGGACGTGGACTCGCAAAATCGAAGGGATATATATATATATACACACATAAATATGTATATATTACATATATGGCACCCCACAAAAGAAAACAGTCTACCAAATTTGGCATTGTTGGTTAAATTTATCTTTTGGGAGGGGTACCATATTTGGAAATCCAAACGTATCTATAGAGCAGAGCGTACTCAAGATAAACTCCATAAATCCAAGAAACACCAGGACAAACATCACGTTTGCACACGGGAGCAATGTTTAAGATTCAACATGCACGGTTCAAGATCTAAAAGAACCTTCTGGAACCAGTCTCTCCTTGATCCAAGTTTCAGGATTCAGTTTTGTTAAATTGAACCTTGGGTTCCAAGCGCCAAATTTGCCACAGGAGCCGTTTGCAATGGCTGGCCGGTCCCCACACATATCACTGTATTATCAATAACTTAACATTATGAAGAGTGTTGCCAAATTTGAAGAAGCCATCAGGGTATGTAAGTACATTAGAATGTTTAATTATGTTTAATTGTTTCCAGCTTTACAGCAATGAGCCCAGACCAAATACACCTAGTCAGAAAAGCATTGGCAGAGGAAAGGGAGCACCTTGGGAAGTAATGTACTTGGAGAGGTGCTACAGTTCTTCAAGGTGTCCACAATGTGCAGCTTTGTGGCTGCCTGACCAACCTGTCCGTTGACAGGAGACACTACGTTTGCAAAATTTAAACAAAAGGTCATTAACGTGTGTACTGACATCAGATGTCCCCTGTCAACCTGTGACAGGAAATTCAACACACCATCCCCTTTGTCACACGTTCCACTATATAGGACCTCGGAATCTCCAGGATAGCCAAAACGATCATTTCTGCGAATAGCATGTGTTTAACTTGACAGCATCGGACGCACCCGTCTCAGGGCGTAGAGAGTATAAGAAGCAGCACTTGCTTGAAGAGCGCGCAGGTTGAGGACTTGCGTGAGTCGTTTGAAAATGACATGTGGCCCAGCCTTCAGTAAAACGCGTACGAAAGTTCAAGCTTGCGCTGGACCGCTGGACTGTGAGGACGCTCCGGCAACGTCTATGGAGACGGTGGTGAGCGCAGATGCGGAAGATTTTGTGTACCAACCCTACTGTTATAAAAACTGTTCATTGGAGAGAACCTGTTTTCAAATTTTCCAAAAAATAAAAACAGTCCCAAACGGCAAAGTCAAAATAATCAAATCAGAAAGTTTCAGAAAGTCAAAAAAACAATTTGCCCAGATCCGGTTTTTTTGATGTTTTTTGTGTTTCCACGTTTTTCGACGTTTTACGGTTTTTCGAAGTGTGTTTATATGTTTTCGAGTGGGTGATTTTTGAGTCATTGTTTATTTATTTTGCGTTTAATGTTTCGAGTTGTTTTGTAATTTGATGTTTTTGATTGTTTTGATTTTCGTATGTTTTTCGATTTTTTTGCGTTATTATTATTTTTCACTTTTTCGAGCAGTGGTCTATGTTTGATGGTTTTTGTTGTTCGACTGTTTTGACTTTTGACTTTTCAGTTTGATTTTTTGGACTTTGACTTTTCCATTTGACTTTGTTGACTTTTAATCTAGGATTCTGGCCTTACCATATGAAAGATTTTTTAACCCTACTGGTGACATTCAAATTGTTTGTTTTTTGTTCCAAAGAAGAATTGCATACTTACCGCGTAAAGGTTCATCAGCCCTGGGCAGTAAAGCTGCATGTTGCCATCAATGGTCCTTCCCTGCACCCGCGTTGCAAACACACTGTTGACAAAGCTTCCTATTAAGTTCTGGGCCAAGCTAACTTACTTGTAAGCCAGTTAGAAGTTTGTAAGATAGGGCCTAGTCGCAGGTATGAAACGAAATCTGCCTATAAGCTACTATGTTATATAACCTATGTTGCGCTAGATTTAACATCTAAAACTTCCTTGTTTAGGGCCAAGTTGGTTGTTCTGTCCAAGGCCAGAGCAAGGCTAGCGATGCTGACGGGCAGACGACTGAGTCGTAAACCTTGAGATTTACTGTATACCCTGCGTGGCCTCGAGAGACCTGGAAACCTTGCATGGTGCGCTCTTCCTTCTTCCTTGCTTCGCGGGTTGATGTTTGACAGTTTGACATGCCACGACTGGTGTTTTCACCCGGCAAGTTGCAGTAGGTTCTGGATCGGACTGGGGTTGTCGCAGTCTTTGGAGACGCCACGAAGATCATCTCAGCCAGGTCTGTCAAATATCCCTTGTGCCCAACTTTTGCCTGATCTGCCCAGCCAAGCCTCCATTGGAAGGAATACAAGAGGCGGAACGGACAGCGAGGTTGGGTTGCAAATGATTTCTGTTTCTTCAGAAGCTTCGTGGATATTTTCTTCATCTTGTCCTGGCCGCCGTCGCTGCGACCGTCAAAGATGATCATGAGGTCGTTCTCGCCCAACACCCATGAATTGGCCTCCATGGCACGAGCTTGACAGATGCTTTTGGCAACTGCTGGTGCTTCCTGGAGCGGGGAGGGCCAGTGCCAGGCATCTTGTGGAAATGGATGGTCGAGTTCAATCCTGTATAGTATGATGTGGTCAAACTTGTCCTCAGGAACGCATGTGGAACTTTCCATACTGCTCGGCAAAGCCCAGCACAGGAACAGCCTCAGCTTCTGCGCCTGCTCCTCCGGCTTCTCCCACCACCTTATACGGGCAAGCGTTGAGCTAAACACGTCAACGACAGCTTTGCTGGAAAACTGGTGGGGTGCGGCTCACAGCGCAGAACGCCGCGCGCACCATGGGAATTAAGACGCAGTGAGCAACAGACCCTTTTATTGAGAGGTGTGCTAACGCATTGCGTGTGGCGCCCTCACCCCCCCGAAAGAGCAAGGGAAAGGCAACTTGGGGCACCCAAGCCTTGACAGGGAAAACAATTTGACAAGTTGGGGGGGCTGCCAATTTGGGAGACTAAATGCAATATAACGCAGCAACTGCAGCCAGCCGACAGCCGGCATAGCAGCCAGCCGCGGCCGCCAGCAAACAGCTGCTGCACAGCCGGCTTAAAACATCATAGTCACGAGTCACGAGTGACTCACAGTCACATGGATGTGTAAGACTACAATGGAAAGCACCAGGCATTCGCGGAGCTGTGGAAACTTGTCAGTGACGGATTGTGTGATAGGTTGAAACCAACTGGGCTCTCCAAGAACTGAAACACGTGTCTTTTATTGCATTTTTGGCCAAGTGGGACACCTTTTTTTGGCTTGAGCAGACACGCTTAGTGGTTGGCGTTCCAGCCGCAAGCGATTAACAGTGAGCCATTCATTCCTGAAACCAAACTACTTTACTTCGAGTGATTCCCACCATGACATTTCAATGTGACAAATTTTCTGGCATGTCTTGAAACATTATTTCGGCATTCATTCTGGCATCCTATCTGACATTCCTTCTGTCACTGGCATTCTTTCTGGCGTTCTATCTGGCTGCCGTCCGGAGCTGGCGGTTGAGGTCCGAAGGGGTGCCGTCCGGAGCTGGCCCAGGTCAAGGTCTTGCGGAGAACACTGCCGTCCGGAGCTGGCGGTTGAAGTCTGGCGGGGAACACTGCCGTCCGGAGCTGGCGGTTGAGGTCCGGCGGGGAACTCGAGGTCTGGCGGGGAACACTGCCATCAGGAGCTGGCTTGTGAGGTCTGGCGGAGAACACTGCCATCCGACACTCGCGGTTGAGGAAGCAGAGGAGGAGAGGAGAAGCGCGGCAGCTGACATAAAATCTGACAACCCTCGCCTAACAGGTGGGGAAAAACAGGCTTGCCATAAATTTAGGTGACCGAGTTGACCATGAACCAAGAGCTTGGACGAAGAATGTTTAATGGAAATGGTATCCACACATCTTCGACTCAAAAAATTAAATCTGTCACTGCTCCTCTGGTTGCACTACAAACAAAACCTTTAAAGATGAAGAATTCAAGACATCTGGAGTCTGGAGCATCAATTCATGATATGAACCGGTGTTCAAACAATAATCAATGTATCAGCCTCAGCCAGAATCTTTGAATGGTTAACATGTTGTACTCCTATAAGCCATCAAAACAAGACAATAGTATTAAATCATATTAAACTACATGTTTTGGCTTGATTGAGGATGACCGCATCTACACACTAAACTGAGACGTCAAGGCACGAGAAAAGAAAGCTTTGTATGAACAAGGAATACCCATTAGATGTGTGATGTGAAGACTTCTACAGACCGTCACATCAACACCAAAGATGAACCCTTTGAATGTTGGACGATTGAAGGCAGTGATGACTTTCTGAAATACACTGAGAAGGTGTTCAAGTTTTGTTCAGGCATTATTTCAGTTGAATGTCAGGTTCAAGCTAAAAAAAACAAAAGTGAAACCAATTACGTACTGTATATATATATATAGTGAGAACACAAAATCTGACCGACTCAATCAATGCCAGTTTAACAGTTGAGGCAAAGAAAGCATACAGCACCATGTCAAAAGCAATGTTCACGTTCAACCAACAAATGTTTAACCCCTTACATAATTCCTGTAATAATGAAGTTGATTTTAACATCCTAAACCAGTGTAGATCAATCCCACCGGCTGCGAAACTTCATAACTTTCTTTACAGCAGGGAGGTACACTTGGAAATAGACCAAAACAAGGCTTACACATCCTGTTAATGCAAATGGTAAAAATATATTCACTGTAACAAGCTTGTGTATGGAGAGCCTATAACTACCGTATAATAAGCAGCATTTCAATGAGCTAGGAAAGCTTATGCGGGTGATACAGGACGATATTGTGTCGAAGGAGATCAAAATCACAAACAAAGGGTTGCAAATATCATGATGCTATTCAAGTTGAAAAAGAAACAACAGCTACAAAATAATATATACTCTAATAATATCGGACAAAAAGACTATCAAGCATTGAAAAATGGCTTCTAATGTGGCAACGTTCTTGGTAATGTAGTGGCATGTTTGGAGGCCGGTCATCCATTGCAAACGTTTGCAACCTTGCAACCTTGTGGCAAATTTATTCCAAGTAGTGCCTGATCCAAGATTCAAGATTCAACATGTCTAGAAAACCCTCCAAGGCTCACAAAACAGGCAAGAAAGGTCGACTGTTCAGGGGGGGAGCATATATATATATAATTATATAATATAGTGTGTATATAACATAAATATATATAGAGAGAGACGATCCCAAACACCAAACATCCACGAGGGACTTTACTTGTTGGCATAAAGGAGATCCAATGCATGTTGGTATGCAGTTGTTGGTATACAAAGCGAACTTGTGAGGAGAACCAATTGAATATGCGACCGAACCCTGCTATTTGCATTCCCCAAGATTTAGAAATTACTACGATATATGTGAGATTTTTTTTTGGGGGGGGGGATTCTGCTGAATTCGCACGTGGTCTATGTCGTGGTTCGACAGATGATTGGGTGAAAAGCTGGCTAGATGCGACTCCCTTCAGGAGCGGCATCGCCCATGCATGGTTCCCTGTGGGCCCAAAAGCAACAACAACACCAACAACAACAAGACCACCGGCCCACCAGCAACCCCCCGGGCCAGGGTTGCACGTGTGCCGCACGCAACAGCGAACGGAGGACAGGAAACCAGCCGACGTTGGGATTCTCCGAGTCGGTATGGAGGTGAGATGCGTTGACTGCATGTACAAACTCTAATACGGGCCGCTCTCACCGCGCAAATGCGCCGCTGCACAGCGCTCGCAGGAAGGTGTGGGGGAAGAAGTAGCTATTGCAGCGCACCAACCTTGCCAGTTGACCGGTCTAGACACATGTGGCCATGAAGGCCGCTCCAACCTCAGTAAAGGAAGGAGCTGCCATGCTCCACCGTTGCCGCTGTTTGAGGCACGCTCCGTGGAGTCCGCGTTGAAGGTCAATAGAAATACGTTCCTGCAGCTGTTCCCAAGTATGGCCTGCAGGAAGGTTCTCACGGGAATCAACTAGCTTTGCCATTGATTGAAGGAGGGCGGCAGTTTCCCCATGCAAGCCACCTGTACTTTCCACCACTAAGGGTTCGAAGCCTAAGTTGTGCCGGGCACAGTGTTGTTGCATGTCAAGGTGTTTCCGTTTGAGTTCAGTGTACCTCTCAGCTGCTGTCAGTGGAGTGGAGGCCGCTGCGCGCAAAACTGCGCTTTGGAGGGGGGGAAGTGATGGCACAGTCCAAGGCTAATTTGGGGAACCGTCGCCACGAGGATTGTTGGACATCTGGTAATGAAACGATCAACACGTCAGCAGGCCGCAAGTGGGGAGTGTCTGGCAGAAGGTTAGGGGGTTCCAGGGTGGGCCGGGTACCCACACGCGCCGCCAGGCGGTACACGACATTTTTGAATGAGGTATGCATGACTTGTTTATGGCCTTGTCCCATGCAACTCATACAATGGTGCCCAAAAGCGTCCAACTGATTTTGACAAAAAGAACACGCCAAGCCATCTTCAAACACCCGCACTCCCAACCGCATAGAAAGGCAATCTCGAAATGCAGCGTTGGAAAGAAGGGTGTCTTGATGTGAGATCACAAAGCATTGATAAGCATTACACTGTAGTATGGATTCTGCTTTACAGAATGAACCAATCCATCCAGCTCAGAGACAGGCAGGATTGCCATAGACCTCAAATGCCAGTCTCCCTCCGTCTCCCGCAAAAGCCCCTTAAGCTGCTAATGTCAGACACGTTCTAGTCAAAATGCATCACACTCCAATTACACAAGTAGGTTCCACATGTCTTCTCAGAGGATTTGCTTGGTGGCCAGTGACCATCACCGAGGACAGCACTGCTAGAGCCAAAACCTCGGTAGAAGGAGGCCCTGTGGAAGGTCTAAGGAGTGCGACCAGGCAAATGCTTGGACTCTCTAACCAGTCTCTAACCATATTAGCTGATGGATGCAATACCCGTCTCAATGACAAAATTGTTAAAGAACATCGTGACCTTATCAACCAGGAACCTGTCGGTCTCATGGCCTCTTGGACTTGAGCCTCGGAGCCTCCAAGTGCCCGAGCAGCTTGAGAGTAAAATACAGCACAGAAAGCGTCAACATTCTGACCGAAATTTAGTATTTCCGACTTGGGGTTCCCAACCATGCCAAGTGCTGTGAAGTTGGTTACTTCAGGCTTTGACCTCACACATGTTGATGCATACTCCTTTCTCAGGTATGCAATGTTGGAACGTAGTCAGCAGCTTCTGAACGGGCTCTGACAAGGTGGCCATGCCGTCTGAAACACTGTCTGCTGTGCACAACTGCCAACCCCAAAAATTAAACAACCCCGTCTCCATCGCTATTATACGTATAGGTTGGAGGCCATCACTAGTAGGTTGGAGGCCATCGCTTCTAGGCTGGAGGCCATCGCCATCGAACCCCATCTCCAGCTTGGCGGCAAACCCGGCCAACAGGGCACTGGCCACAAGAAGCACCAGCAGCATGTATCTGAGCAGGAGGTTCGCGGTGCGGATGTCAAACTGCTGCCAACTAAGGCTTACCTGTAGTAACTGACCCGTAGCAAAGAAATGTAAAGTAAAGAACGTGCTACTTTCAAGGCGGCAAGGGGTATAAGGTCCATGCATGCGATGAGCCTTTTGATTGGCGTTCTTGTTTCCAACTGTTAACACTTGGAAGGCTCGATTTGGGGCGCTACTTGACGTCCAAAAGTCCTCATGTAGCAGCTTGTGACCAAACAAATGTCGACTTCCAGCCTCAGGCACTGTGCCATCGCCGGCACATCGGCCTCACCATAAGCACTATGTGCAATGAACACGCGCTGGTTCAGTCTGTCAATACATGGCTTGTGCCTGATGAAATGCAGGTCTTGAACCAGTTTGTGGAGCAAAACGCCTGGTTGGTGTCCCAAAAATGTGGCCTGAAGTGGAGGACAGGGCAGGTTCCCTTTGAGAGGTCAGTAGCAAACCACTGATACTTGCCTCTCGCAAAGACCACGCCATGCTGACCTGTCGTTGCAGGAGTCATGGTACCCTAAATCGAAAACATGGCAGGGACAACCTGCTGTCTGCATTTCGATGATTTGAACAATGATATCTTGCATTTTGTCAGTAGTTCAAGCTGCAGCTAGTATACAGTGAAGTACAGGTGCAGCTAGTTTTCATCTAGGATCAACTTGTCTAAACTTAAAGTGATAATTAGCGGAATAAGATCCTCCAAAAATGCTCTGCAGTGCCTACAGCACACGTCTTTCTTGATCGTTTTTTGTCTCAGAGATCCAACAGCCGGCTAAGTGATCTTCCAAATAATTGCACCTACTGCAAGAATGCCAAGCATCGTTGCCCTTTGAGCTCCACGGCCTCCTTTCTTCCACACCTCCCTGTAGCTCATCTCAGAACGTTGAATCAGGAGGAAAAGTGGCAAATCAAAGACTGCAGGCAACGCTTTGTTCAGCAAAAGTCTGCAAAGAAAAGACACATTCCAAAGGCGGCCTCGCCAAGGGGCCTGGCTGTATTGGAAGGGTGCAGCCACACGAACGATCTTGATGAGCGCTTCAACGTCTGGCATCCTCCGTGTCTCAAACTCTCTCACCGCATCGCTGGCATTGCCGTCACGGTCAGTTGAGGCGAAACATGCCTCCAAGACTGTGACGTCCTCGAGAGCACTATTCACACCTTGACCAATGTCGGGCGGCAGCGAGTGCAGCGCATCACCCAGCAAGATCGCAGCTCCACTTTCTCCGGTCCACGCAGCACTGGGGCAATACTGTGGGCTGGGAAAGCGACCTCCACGATTTTTTGCAAAACGTAGAATTTCTTCGTCTGACACCAAGGATTTGAGCGGGAAGTGGGGCCACTGGTCTGAAGCATATGCCGTAAAGCTCTCTGCAGTATCTGCTTCCCACACGGCATCATCTTCGTAGGTGATGAGGTTTGCAGTTCTTGTTCCAAATTCCTTGGAGACGGGAATCAAGCCAAGCTTTTGTTTGCACTTGTTCTTGGAGACACCTCTGATTGCATAGAATCCTTCACTCAAAAAGGTTTTCTTTCCTTCAGGCGTTTCAAGCTCAAATGCGCCAGGCAGTGTTAGAACTTTGTAACGGAGCCCAGCTGAAGGTGATGAAAATGTCTTGACTCTATATCTCCCTTTCTTGCCGTCCCATTCTTCTAGCTTGTCTCTGACAGCCGAACGATATCCATCTGCACCAACCAACAAGGAGGCTTGATGGGCCGTCACTTCCGAGCTGCCAGCAAACCCTACGTCAATGTGAAATCCACTGGCATCACTGGCCATGTTCTGAATGTCTGCTTCTAAATAAAGATTGATGTTCTCCATCTTCCTCGCTTCATCCAGCAAGAAACCGACGAACGCATGTCTGGGTATCCAGTAGGATTTGCGATCTGCATCCTTGATAGGGTTCACCCGTTCGGTCAAACCTTTGGGCGTCAAAACTCCAATCTTGGCATCTGCCATGGCCACCGCAGAGTCTACAAGTCGCTCGAACAACTTGGGACTGAGATCGCGCAAGCACTTTTGTCCTCGGCCATCAATTAAGTACATAAAGCCTTTACCTGGGTCGTAAGCTGCTGGGTCGCTCGTGCGCTCGAACACTGAAACATTCCAGCCGCGCTTGGCTAACATCAAAGATACAGCAAGTCCTGATGGCCCAGCACCCACCACTAAAGCTTTCTGTTGCTCATCGTGGCCCTTGCTCGCTGCAAAGCGACCCAAGCGGCTGCATCTTGCCATGGAAAATGCACCTAATAGGCATAAGAATGTATAAGGACAGTGGTAGCCTCCTTGCCCTCCAGCAGCCAAGGCATCTGCGCGATGAATGTTACTGCTGCCCACTGAAACTTTGACCGGCAACTGCCGACATGATGGTCTGCCAGGAGTGAGTGTGGTTGGCAACATAGCAGTGGCAGCAAGCAGAAACTAAAAGACTTACTTAAGACTACTTAAGACCTTCTTCAGCCAAAACAGCCTCAGCGGTTGGACAGTAGTCACCGGCTTTGGCTGTGGGCCCTAAATGGCATGACATGCCTTACTTCTTATGAGTCAGAAACCGGAGATGTCTGGCCGGAAAAGAAAGTCTTTCAACCCTAAGGGCCTCAACCTAGTATAAATTTGGATTCTGTCACTGTCCATGTTTCGCTACCTGCATATGAGGCAGGCTCATATCAAATATCAGGGTTTGTCACTTATGAGTAGAACTCCTAGCAGTTGAAGAGATGTCTGCAAATGTCTGCAACAGCATCCAATGCTTGATGTGCCTCGCAAAGGCTGGTGCAGAACACCGTGGACAAACAAATGTTGCTATGGAACCTCAGTGAAGGGAGCACCCCGAGCCGTGAATCTGAGGCTGGAAACCATGTGAGCTAATGTCGCATCTTGAACTGTCAGGCGTGAAACAAGATATAGTAGTTCGATTTTTTTTCGCACAAATATTCGAAACTCATGAATTGCTGCTGTTTGTGAAACAGTCCTCTCATGTCCTGTGTGTGGTACGGTATGTTAATGTTATATAAATGAAGCAGCAGCACCATGCAACCTGTAATAATTTGAACCATCGGGAACTTTGACACTGGGATGATCCAAAGAGGCGAAAAGCTAACATAGGCTAACCATTCGCTCACATCCCTCGCCCTGTAGCTTCTTGTTACGACTAGTGACTAGTATGGCCAGGAGCTACTAATAGCATCCTTGTTCCTAGTAGCGATGCCCTTTGTTACTAGTAGCGTCCTTGTTCCTAAGGTCCTAGTCAACATGTGTTTTGCTTGAAGTCACATCTGTCATCAGTCCGATGTCATTCGCCAAGTGGCGGCGCATCCACCACACAGAGGCGTCGTCTAGAGCTTCCCAACCAAAGGCCTTGCACCTGTAGCGCAGTCTAAAGGAAGGTTTGGTGGTGACCAACAAACGACAAGTTGCCAATATTATACCAAAAGCGCTCTGGAGCAAGTCAAACTTGGGAAGAGGTCATTCAACTGCATTCCCTTTTGCACACTTTCTGTGTTCAAACAATGAGATTGCCAGGAGCTCGTCTAGGCTGACTTGGCAAAACCCACAAAAAACACATGGCCCAACAAGGTTCGAAGGAAACCAAAGGAGCCGCCGAGTCTGGCGTGGGATTTCGTCTTTGGGTCAAACATCCTGGACACCTGCAGCAAGAGGATGTCGGGCACCATATTGAAAAAGGGCTGGTCCTGCAAATACTCCGATGAAATCTTCACTTAGCCTTGCCTTTCAATGCCTCTTCTACAAATGCGAGTGTTGTTGATCGCAACTCCAAGCTGATAATACAGAGGTGTGCCTAGAATGTGGAGATCTTGCTGAGTTTTGACCTCATGATATCTCACAATCTTCCAATCCAGTCAGCACACATGTCAAATCACCCAACACCAACACCCCTACAAACCCGCACCGCACAAAGACGTCAACCGTCAACCATTACTTGCAATGCCGCACATCGGCCTATAATTCCGATTTCCAGCGCCCACAATCTCTGTTCACGCCCCCTGATTTGATCTTTATTGTGCAGGGTCGGTCAAGGCATGTCACACCGATGGCCGACGGGTCAAAGCAACATCCACAATCTCCTCGCGATAGTAGCGCAAACCATCCGGTCCCAAACGATCCTGACAAACCTGGCATAATTATTGATAATGAAAACACATCTTCACTGGCAACTCGGCAATAGATGCACATAATTACCATACAGCCAAAGCATGCATAAAGCACAGGTGAGCTTGTCTCAGCCACAACTACCACTCAACTGACACCAATACAGAACGCATCAGAATACCTGGTGATGTGTTGCTTCAGCCTATAGCTTCCAAGCATTTTTTAAGCGATATTAGGCATTCCTTGCCTTCCATCCCTTGTCGGGAACCACTGTCGCCCAAGAGGCAAAGCCCTGAAAGGAAGCAACTTCACTTGAATGACTTTGCGGCTTTGCCTCTTGTTGAACAAGACTGGAAACCAGTGGAAACCCACATGTTGAAGTCATTGTTCTTTTGTTCAATCCAAGGGCTACACTGCTACACATCTTGCAAACATGTTTTGTGTTGCCAAACTAAGGGTCTGACAGCAGAGTATATTACTGGAGGTGTTTCCATTTTCTTTTGCTGCAAGAACATCTGCTACTGACGATTCCGCAAAACAATGCCACAAGTGAAACAACAGTTGGAGCGTTGAAACATTCAAGGGATGGACAACCGCTGGCCTTGAGAACCATGAGAAGAGCTGCGGCGAACATGGTCTGGCACCAAAGTCGCAAGTCGCCAAAACGCAAGACCTTGGAGCAACCATCCAAACCAAGTGGCAGAAAAACTGGCCAAGGATCTGATCTAGAAAAGTCGTCCTCTTCAACATGGGACCATTGACATCTGGCATCATAGGTTTGTGAACATGTTCATACCATCCACGCCAATGCCAATCCCATTTGCCCTTGAATCGGGTAATTTGTCCAATTAAAACCGTGGACAAATGTAAGAGTATACTGTGATGAGTGATGAGGAAACATGTCACGTCTGCACAAGGTATGCTCTTCTGAGTGTTGCACAAGTCCAATAGAAACAACCTCATTGTGAAAAGTCCAAATCAGAGCAAAACTGGAAATGTTGGATGTGTCTGTCCATTTACTTTTGTGCAGGTCAAACACTGCTGCTGCAACGCTGTGACTTTGCTCTATTGAATGTATTCGATATTTGATATTAGCACATATAATTAACCAGCAATCATCAATGGATGAACACCACATTGAACAATGCTAGAATGAAGCCAATTAAAACAAGGAGAAGACTGAGAAAACACGTGAAAACACAGTTCAGCTTCACCATCTGTAATCTGATGTGACTGATGACATTGCATCTCAAATTTATGCTGAAGTCTGAGCTGCTTTCTCCAAGAGTAGGTACAAAATATGCAGAGCTGCTCCACAATTTCACTACAAGTTTGTTGAGCGAGATCGAAAACTAACCGCCTATACCTTTTGTATAATCCTGGTTTGCTTTCACAGAGCGTTCGCGACCTGCATTTTGGCTTTCGCGGAAGGTGTAGTGTTGTGTGGGACTTCGCGTTTTCTTTCGCGACGATGTGTTTTCGATTGGGACTCCAGGAAATCAGACTTCGTGAGAGCTTTCAGGAGCTTTCGCGGGGCTTTCGCCAACCTGTCGCGAACTGCGCTCTTGCTTTCGCGAAAGCATGTGAGTTTACAGTTTGAGGTTTTAGAAGTTGTTCTATTGAAATCTATTGAATATCTGGGATGCACACTGGCAACAGGTCCATGAAGACTTCCAGGACCAATGCTAAGAAACCCAAATCAGATCCCTCACTCCTGAGCTGCGACGAAAGGACAACATAGAGGGCCAGATGTGCCTCTTTGTCAACAAAAACAAAGATACATTTAGAAGAGAAACCAAGCAACACACATGAACCACTTCTTTATGCTCTTGGATGGCTTTTGCGGAAACTAACTATGTTGGATGGTGTCCTCAAACATCCTCTGCCTCGGAAAGCGAAAACTGAGGTATTGACTTTCCATCATCGTTGCCTTGGAAGGTTCAAGCCACGACAGGACGAGGGACATGCCTCGGCATGTCCACAGAACCCAACGTGAACTTGCCTGGGCAAAAACTCCCTGAATGTTCACCTGCTTGGGTTATAGTTATATGAAGGTGTACGGTATCGTTTTTTACATATGCGATTTTTAATAAGTGAACTGGTATTTGAGACTACCTCCGGCAAGGCCCGCCCGCCTGTTTTTAAAACACACGGAGTGACTATACGATCAAAATATTGTATTTAAATATACGGTCAGCTTACATATGTGCGGCGGCATTTACTTGGCACTGGCTGAGCTCAAATACACTACAGTATATATTATGTGGGGTGTTGGTGGTGCTCTTGGTGGTCCCGGTGGCCTTGGTGGTCCGGTCTTGGTGGTCTCCGTGGTCTTGGTAGTCTTGGCGGTCCCGGCGGTCTTGGTGGTGATTGTGGCAGTCAAGGCGGTGTTGGCGGTGCTTTTGACTCTCGGTGGTCTTGGAGGTCCCGGTGGCCTTGGTGGTGGTGGTCTAGGTGGTCTTGGTGGTGATTGTGGCGTCGTGTTGGTGGTGCTCTTGGTGGTCTTGGTGGTCCCGGTGGCTTGGTGGTGCTCTTGGTGGTCTTGGGGGTTCGCGGTGGCCTGTCTTGGTGGTCCGGTCTTGGTGGTCTCCATGGTCTAGGTGGTCTTGGTAGTCTTGGTGGTGATTGTGGTGGTCTAGGCGGTGTTGGCGGTGCTCTTGGTGGTCTTGGAGGTCCCTGAAACCTTGGTGGTGGTAGGTGGTCTTGGTGGTGATTGCGGCGGTCTAGGCGGTGTTGGTGGTCTTGGTGGTCCCGGTGGCTTTGGTGGCTTTGGTGGTCTTGGTGGTCTAGGTGGTCTTGGTGGTCCCGGTGGTCTTGGGTCCGGCGGTCTAGGCGGTCTTGGTGGTCTAGGTGATCCTGGTGGTCTTGGTGGTCCAAGTGGTCTTGGTGGTCTGGGCGGCCCTGGTGGTTTTGATTTGGTGGTGTGGCACCTCCCCATACAGTCTGCAGCCCTGAAAGTACTAAGAGTCCTTGATGAGTTCTATTGTGAGAGGGTTTGAAAAGCTAGATCGACCTAGTTGCGGGGCAGAAAGCAAAGTGATTTCTCTACAACAATCGGGTTCTGTAGCCCCTCTGTAAAATCTCTGTAAGGGCCTCAAGCTTTCCCTTTTTGTGGAGGAAATGTCAACAGGGATTCGTCCACATTTTAAATATACTGGGCCCGGCCAAACACTTTAAATACACGGTGGTGGGAACAGGTATTTTAGACTACCTCCGGGGCTGATTGCTCTGGCCAGGCCACCATATATTTAAAAGGTGTTACCGTATGGTTTACGATGGTTTTATGTATCTACATCTTATCTAAGTGCTGAAGATCTTTGGTCAATGCCCCTTCGACTACTGTCATGTTTTTTTCATTGAATGTTGGCTTGCTTGCCTTTGAGCTTCATGATCATGCAGTTGGTCATCATATTAGGGAATGTCATTGTCATGTTAGTCTATTGTCCATTTGTGGATCTGCTTTGCTGTCTCGGGCATCATGTGGATCCTGCGGCCAGCCGCCCAGCAACATGTTGTTTTCTAATCTATCCAACAAATATCAACAAATCACAGTGGAGCACGGTGGACTGCTATGAGCATCACACAGTTGGTCTGCCAAATGGTTATCAAGACTTGACTTCGGATCTGCTTTCCATGTTTTGCTTCCAACATTCTGCCACCGGATCTTCACCTTGTGACCTGATTTTTCGTCCAAACACTCCGTCACTCCGGCCTTCAAAGGCTGACGGCATGGAGTCTCTGTGAGGTCTGTGGAGCTCATCCTTGGGAGCAACAGTCCGACTCAGGCCCTCTACGGTGCCAACAAGCCCTTGGGCATCAATTTGGTCACATCTGTAGGCCATGGCCGTTCTACTGCAACCAATGTTGTCAGCCACCTGTGTAACAACTCGATCGACACTCATATCTCAGTATGCATGTGGTGGTTGATCTAAATTCCTTTCATCTGGAAAGTGCCTCTTCGGGAAAAAAAATACATTCGCGAACCCCATGTTTAACTTTCGCGAACTTTCGCGAAGTATGATCTTACATATTCAGAAGAAGTTCGGGTACATGGGTATATATATATAGTAGTTAAAGGAAGACTCTGATTTCCTTCTGAGCTGGTGGTCTGAACAGATCACAGTAAGCAAACAAATAAGGGTCCCTTTACCTACAAATAACGGTTACATGAACTTTCGCGAAAAAAACGATTACTTTCGCGAACCCTGTGTTTAACTTTCGCGATCTTTCGCCCGGTTGGTACTTAGTAACCGAAATGGCTGTTCCATATGAAACTCCTTTCATGGACCTTTAGATCGATGCCCATGTGCGTGCATGCACTCCATGAAGGCAGTAGACAAAGAACATCTGCCTCAGCAATTGACTTGGAACTGTTCCATTGTTTTGAAGCTTATGTTCACTTTGCACACTTGCCTTGCGTCCTACCTTACTTTCACCAAGACCTGTCAATCCAAATTCAAGTTTAGAATAAAGGCCTACTCAAGTTGTTTGCAACTGTGTAGCCAACCCCTAGGCCCTTGGAGAATGTATAACTCAAGCTTGAGGCATCCAACGAGCATCTTTGTGAATCTACAGCAATATCATGTTGGAACGCTCTTCCTCAGGACCGAGAGGCCATCCAGCGAACATAGCTGCGCCTGGAAACTGGCCCACTGTAGCGTTGGAACAAAACGTGGATAGAAACGATGCCCCAAAATGAACATAGTATTCCAGGTTCGCTATAATTTATTACTATTATTTCGCATGATTTCGCTAGTTTGTGTTCAACAATGTTCCAAAGCGGACTGTTTGCAGCAAGTCGTCACGGCAAACATGCCAGTGAACACGTTGCCAGGTACAGCCCAACCTCGGGTTGTACAGAGCAGCCCACACAGTCCCTGTTCTGGTGAGCACGGTCTGAGCGTGTTTTGTCTGGAATCATGTGGTTTCAACCACTCGACTGAGGGCTCAAGCAGTTCAAGCGGTTCAAGTGTTGATGTTTCTGGAAAGCTCACTCGGAAATTTCCCTGTGATGTTGGTTTTACTTTGTGTTTGAGAGCTGATCTTCTTCTGTCAACTGCGTTTTGCCGAGAGGCATGTTCCACAAAGAGTCCGCCTAACAATGCCAAGGCAGGCAATGCCCAGCGCAGGATCTCATGGCCTGCGCACTTATTTCCAGCACCGCAGGGTAGTAAAATGGCTCGATTCGACACCTATTGCTGTAATATATATATATATTTATTTATATTATATTTATATCAGCTGGACTCAAAGTCAAACTTGCCATCGATACTGCCAGAATTCTGAAGTTGCCTCTGGATAGTTATTTGATGTTTAACAGAAACATCAACAACACCATGCGGTACAACATGGTACAACGCTATCCCTTGATGCAACTCTGTATTTCGACATACAGTAGCTCTTCTTGTGGGAAAGCGTAATCAAGTAATCGTACCTAGCGATACCAGCGGTCATTTTGCTCTGCGACGTCCGCAAGGACAGACTCCTATGCGAGTCCATGATGTTGTAGCCATTCATCATGTGCTTGGATGAACTGAAAGACACGGGTCGCAACCTCGACAGCATCTGGATTCTTGTCAGGGTGCCATTTTGCGCGTATGGCCTTCAAGGCCTTCTTCTGCTGAGAAAAGGGCTTTTGCAGCAAGGCCTTCATTTCTCGGGCAACCTCCTCTTCCCCTTTGGCGACTTCTCGGTCTTCCACCGAAGTTGCTTCCTCCAGGGCAAGCGGAACAGGTCGATCAGGTTCCGGTTGCGCTGGCTCAGGCATTGGTGGCACAGGTACTGCCTTGGGTGTCGCTTGGGAATGTGGTCCTGTTTGAGCATCGAAATTGTTGGTCTCCTCATCCTCGACGTCTTTCTTGTTGGCAAATCTCTCATTCGGTCTCAGTCTCTTCTTGTTTGGCGCCGACTCAAGGGCGGGTGCCGCCCTGCGAGGGGCCACAAAGGTACGCCATTCTGCCTTTGCTTCTACAGCGGGTTGCCGCACGCGAACATGTTTGTCACCCACTGGAAGCCATCCACGCAACGCCTTGCTCATGGCAAGTTCCACGGCTTTTGCACTTGCGAACCGGACGGAAGCTACTTTTTCACCATCATCACTTTTGAAATCCACCCGGATTTCAAGTACAGGCCCAAACTTCTTGAAGGCTTGTTGCAAGGCAACTTTGGCCTTGGATTCCCAGTCACCAGATGAAACAAGCTCCTTAACATCAGCTTCTGCACATTCTACAAGTTTCCGTGTCTTGAAACTATAGACGGATTCCTCCTCTTTGGCCGTTGGCTTTACGGGAGCTCGATATTTGCCCGGTGACACATAGCCTAAAGGTGTGCTGCTTACGGCATCCGCTTGCGGCATCCAGCTGGGCGGCTTAAAGCCGGGCGGTGGCCCTTCGGCACCATCTAGCAATCGTCCTCCCAGATCCTTCACCGTCCACGTGACATCTTCGAGTTCCTTCTTCCGTTTCTTCAGAATTAACAATTTGCTGTCGTCCGTGCATTTCATCGCCACTTTCCGGAGCTCCAGGCAATCTTTCAGGGCCTCGGGGCGGTTGCGCCGCGCAGGGCCCAGTAAGGTGGAGAGTTCGCCATTGTCCAACAGGACAGTGATCTCGGCAAAGTGTTGGCCTTTGACTATGGCACGCGACACGGCTCGGGCCTCCATTGGAGCGAAAGTGCCAAAGTATGTCTGACAGATGACTTGACTTTGTGTTGGTCTAGGCATGTCTGGGCAACATAGCTTCATGTTTGGCATTGTGCAAAAACACGCTGTGACTCCTGACAGGGTTTCTGGTGTTGAAGGGGAGAAAGAAACTGCAGCATCCAAGCTTCGCAACAAATAACAAAAACAGTTTTGTAGAAGCAAACAGTTGTGAAGCCGGAGTGGTTCTGACGTTTGCTATCAACCAATGTCCTTAAAGCCTACTTGATGCTACATAATCAGGCTCTATGCTTGAACCTTCAAGCACGTCCACATGCGACGTAAAATGTTTCAAAATGATTGGATTCATTGCACTGATGGCAACATCAGGGAGCTAAACAGACTTGTAGGAAGCCGAACTATGAGAACTGTGCACCGAGGGCCGATTTGTGCCCATGGTTTATTCGGGTCCACTGGAGTCCACTCCGCACCTTCTCGACTTAAATAGCGCTGCCCTGGCAAAGGCAGAACGAGTCACTTGAGAAGCGAAACAATGCCTCGGAGCATCAACAAAACGAGACGAGGGATTTGGTTTGCATCTGTTTTGCCTGCTGCAGGAGCATTGCTTGCGGAGCTGGAAACGGTTCCTCCTGCAAAATATCTACAGTAGAAAGAGCTTGGCAAATTTGGCTCTTTCTAGATAGGCAATGCAAATGTCAGCCACAAAGCTACGTGGAAAGGCATGGATCCTCAAAATATCCCATTAAAGCAACGCAAAGACCAACAAAGCGCCGATGTCTGAAGGCAAGAAGTACAGTCAAGAAAGAGTAGACAGGAAAGTTATTTCTTGAACAGGATTGAGATCCCTTCGGCCTGGATCTGCTGATAGCCTGTCTTTGAGCATGCTTGTAGAAGGAAACTTGCCACACTCGAAACTTGCATTTCTAATCATGGTTGTCTTCATTCTCGGCAGGAATCAAGTAGAATTGACCAACTGTGTTCAACGCAGCCACGCATTGCAGAATTGTTGGACAAGCTGAACCAACACAATTTGATACACTGTTAGGTGTGAAGGTATCTACACAAATGAGCCTGAGAACACTGCAGCCAAACTTGTAAAAAAAACATGTCTTCGCCTGGAACTGGTCCGCCTTCAAACCAAACAAAAGCAGCATGTGATTGTGTGTAAAAAAAGGAATGCAACCGTTTAAAAGTTTAGAGCACAGCAGCAAACAGGAGTTGTGAATCTACATACAGCATCTCAATCGTGAACATTAGCAGCAGCACAATGAATGAATGGCAAGTTGTTGAATGGTGTTGATGGCAATTTTGATTGGAGCGACGCTCAAATATCGGTAATTATGTTGACCTACACAACATAAGACTGTATCTTGCGTTTGAGCAAACAAAACAGCGCCTGTGCTGTGATGAGCTTTGCGCTCGTAGCATTGAAGTGACACTAAGTCTGGGATGGTGATGTGGCGTGAAACAGTACGTGCAGGTGAGCTGGTAACCAGGTGGTCGGTTTCCTCAAACAACTCCAAACCGCTCCAACAGGGGTTCAGGTGCTCAAGCGATACAACGTCATGCAACATGAAACAAAACCATTTAAACAAATCCTCGTGAAAAGCCTCTTTAGAAGGCAACAAACAAAAAGACTGGATGCGCGTCAATTTGTGGGCTTGGCTTGACAGCTGGGTGGTACCAGTATGCTGTGGCTGTACCAATCCGAGCAGCTTGGGCCACAGGGATCTCAGCTGTGGGCATCCAATCCAATCTGTGTCATTTTGCACGAAAGCTTGTGTCAGTACCTGTTCTCTTACTTCTCTTTTAAGAGAATATCGCAAAGCCTGCAAAGCCTGGCAGCAGTGGAGCTCCGCTGTGTCAGAGTGATACCATTCTGGGGAGCCTTGAACATCTAGGTCGATGCAGCACATTTCACGTCGCCGATGCTTGGAGCACGTTTTCTGCTTGGCAAACTTCTGAAGTGAAAAGGCTATGCACTCTTCGACACTGATTCCAAAAGGACTTAATCTCCTTGAATGAGACAATTCAAATGTGACACCTTGGCGGCCAAACCTACTGAAGGCTGACCGGTGTTGTTCAGCATTGGAAGCGCCGGCCACAAAAAACAACAGTAAGTTGATGCTTTTTTTTGGCATTTCTAGAGTCTTATCGAGTATGGGATTGTATCTGTTCACCAGTCCTTCTAACTTTCGTGCAGTTCCAATGCTTCCTGATGCATTTTCCAAGCCGTATGGCTTGAAGACTCAGGATCCTGAGGCATATCATCGTATAATATCATAATTATATATCATTGAATTCTAAGACCTGGGACACAGACAAACACAAAGAAACAGCTTAGCACCTTAATGGTTGCAACCAGACAGTACTGTTTGGCGACAGTAGCAACAAATCGCGCATGGCCTCGGAGGAAGCCTCGAGGAAGATCAGTATTACAAAAGCTTGCACCAAGGTCCATTAAACGGGAAGCCTGTCAAGATTGAGGGCTGGAACAACGTCATTAGAATCAGAATCGGAAAGACAGCAAGTGAGCAATTACGAGAATCTCTTGGAATGATGAGAATGTATAAGAACAAGCAGGAAGGTAAGCCTTACTAGAGGTTCTGTCGCTAATTGTGCCTCCTCGTGGGAATCAGTTTGGCCAAAATGCTGCCACACACCGACAGTGCACATTTGGCCTTAATTCACCGAGCTTGGAACATGAGAAAGTGAGTCATAGTGGAGGATAAATTCAAACAACAAGCACAACACACCCAAATAATGCTACTGCATTCCTTCCAAACCGACAAAGAATGAATATTAAGATCCATAAAGCCTATGCCTAATTGTTTAAAACGCCTAAGTCTTTTCGGGGATGGGTGGGACAGGGTAGCTTCAAAAAGAGCCCAGCAAAGCTTAGCAAACACAAACATGTTATTGGGTCAGGGTCAGCATAAGACCTCCATTGAATGGTACAATTGTTGCATCCAATCCATGCATGTGGAGATGAACTATAGTAACTATTGCATCAAAAACATTGTACCAACATGTGCCAGCTCATGGTGAATCATAGATGTGACTAAGGTATGTATCTGACTTTGTTGTGAATGCTGCAAACATCCGCGTGGCAAAGCTTTCTGAGAGCTTCTTGGTTGTCATTCGACAGTTTCTCGGTCCACTCGATATAGAAGCCATCTAGTAACAAGTCCTGCAGAGTCCATCATTCTGCATCGAACGTTGATGTATCAACTCATACTCGGGCGGAACCTGTGGTCTGAGAGTGGTCTGAACACACATCAACAAGTTCACAATTTCGTAAGCAAGTTCAGATCACACCCAAGATAGGAGGCAACAACAGAAAATCGTGCCTAGGGTCATCAACTATCGTCACCTGCTCTCTCATCCATCGGTTCTCACAACCTGGTTTTCAAGGTCTAGTCTAGTCGGTCTACAAAGTTTCCCTAACAATCTAGGAACCAAATCATTAGTGTGAGCGCTTCTTCAAGGAAGCTCCCAGCCGTCCTCAGGCGGTGGGAGCTCATTTGAAGAAGCGTGAGCTATCCTGCGTCCAGTTACCAGAAGTTAACTTGAAGTTAACTAGTCGCCCTTATTCAATTGAGTAGGCGCCTACTTAATTAAGTAAGGAGGCAGGGCCGTGGCGACCACGGGCTTCAAAAAAGTAGTTCCAAACATTCCGGAGTTTATTCCGAAGTTTATTTGTCTGTCCTTTCGGGCCAAGAACGTGGCGGCTTTCTCTGGCCATGCAGAGTCTCCAAGGTCCAGCGTTTGATATTTCGCCTCGAGGTTCTCCCGTGGAATGGCAGTTAACCTCGGGGAATCGAAGGTTGTTGGATTTTTTCCAAACAAGCAGCTTTGTAAATGGAGATCAAACTGATGTCTAAGGCAAAAATTGCAATTTGCAGTGATGTTTTTTGTGACAGTTCATTCAACTCAGGCTTGCCCATAGCCAAAGCGGTTTGGTTGGCTCAATAACACAGGGCCAAGATACTGGCAAGCAACCATTTGCTCGAAGAAACAGTAGTATCATAATATCAGAAATGACTGCCACCGGAATCACTGAAGAGTGACCGGTTACCGTGTCATACCATGTCTAGAGAAGGTCTTGAATCTAAGTCTCAGAGCTTTCTTGCCTTCTCTGGGAGCCCAAGGCACAAGAGCAGCTTTGGCCGAGATGTCTCGGCAATGCTCTCATCCCAAGCATCGGCAAAGCCCAGAAGCTCTGGAACTTCAAACGACATCACCAAAGCGCACGCCTGTTACTCATTGAGGGGTCTGGATCCAATCCAGAACATATCGAACACATGGCCGTGCTGCCTTTCTCAGGAATGTAGCAAATATACAAAGGAATTCGGTATGCGAGATACAACTAATGCAAACCAAGTCCTCCGCCTCTCTATATGACCAAGGTTTCAGATTGTCCCAGCTATCTCATTTTCTTTGGCTGCTAGTTTTGCCCTAGGGACTGAAAGCCGGACCGACTTTTCTGACATTTTCGGACTCCACGACGCTTGGTCATGTCATCACATGGTGTTGGGTGGGGTGGGGGGGGTGGGGTGAGGGTCAAATTCCCCGCAGTGGAGCGTGTAGTACACAGTATCCCTGGATTCAACTCACAGTCCAACAAGGTTCACAAGAGCGAGTGAGCGAAGGCGATCGAGCGGCTGTTTTCACACGCGCATACCTTGAGCCAAATATTATGGCATGATATGGCATGTCAATGCATTGCGTAAGAGCATATCGCAAGACAACCAAGTTGAAGCAATAGCGTAAACGGGGACCCCAAAACAGAAAACATGGGGGGTGTTGTAATTTCGTTGTAGTTGTTCTCACATACGTCTCATGAGCATGAAGGCTCAAGAAGTAACCACCGTGTGCTTTAGCTTTGTTGTGTCGGTTGTCGGGTGTTCCTTTTCCTCCTCGTTTTTTGTGTTTTCTTCCTTTGTGGTGTGTCAACCCTTTTTCTTTAGACCAGTACATAGACGGTTTAACTCGTGACCCTTTAGTTTCTTTTGTTCACGAAACCGTTTTGGGTTTAGATCGTGGCTGGGTAAACTGAGAGCAAGTGTTAGAAGAAGCTCGTCTTTCGTTGTTCACACTTTGGCGAAATGTGCGGTTGAGGTGTTCTTTTTCGAAAAGGCAGAAACCAACTCCTTTTCTGTTGGTGACTGTTGGTGTTGAGTTGGCGTTTGTTGCGTCGTTGTAGCAGCTCCATGTCAGATGGGTGCACCGCCGCTGATTTGCTCGACAATGGCATCGATGAAAAAGACTTGCACTGGGAGCCTGACTGGGGACAGCTAGTTACACAAAAAAAACAGGCAACTTGAGGTGTCACGAAAAAGCCTGTTTTTATTTAGGCAAAGACGCATGACAAAACATTGCGTATACCAATGAATTTGACATGAGAACCTGCAAAATAGGGTACGGTTTCCAATCCGTACGGTAGTTTTAGACCATGCCGACATGGAAAACTGCCACTGCAGAGTCTGCAAAGCCTCTAGCAATTGCGGATTGCCCTGCAAGAGCCTGGCCACAGCGGATCCCACAGTGGGAGATCCTGGACTTCCTTTCAGCTCGATCACCTCACAGGAATCGAAGGCGACCAAGACACGGAAGAAACTGCGACAGCAACTACAATGGTGCAGCAGTGTTAAGCAGGCTAAGCTGTCGTTTTGAGGCGACCTTACGTACACAAATCGCACATCATGCAAATTCATGCATTATCTGGGGAAGGCGAGACACGGATATATTATATCTATATACTGAAAGTGTAGGTATCCTGCACAATGTACCCCACAAATCATAAACTCAAGAAGCATATCATGTTGCAAACCTGCACACTGTGAATGCAGCGTCTGAATGAAATACACACGCATTGGTTTCTTGATACTATATATAATCTTGCATCAGACAAGTTGCCAGGCGACTTCCGCTTTCTAGAGCAGTCAGCAACACGTCTTCTAAGTAGGTCAAATGAACGTCTTTTTGGAGCAAAGGCCAGCTGATTAAATCCTCCGCCGTTATCTCATTCGCATTGGGCGTAGGCTTGGCAGATTCTTCCACCAATTTGTCCAGGTTTGGATCGTGAAGCAACATAATCTTCCCATCTGAACTCAAACGTACATCACACTCACAGTAACGCAGACCAGAATCCCAAGCTATCTTCAAAGCAGGCTTTGTGCATTCCAACGGCCGATCTGAGGAGAGCAGTGGGCAATGAAATCCCCGGTGTGCAACGAGGCGTTCCCTCAGCTTCTCACAAATCTGTGGGACGAAGCCATTCAACCATGCGGATTCAGTCGAATAAGCTGCTTCCATCAGAACAACGTGCTGCATATAACAAAAGAAACGCATCCTGAGCCGAAAATCCACAACAGTGCGCTGTGCACCATCAAATACTATCAAAGGGGTTGGTGTCAAACGAGAACTAGAAGACGGTTCTCATGATATTGAGCTAGTATTTGGTGCAAAACAGCGGACGAAGCTTTTAGCTCGATAAATAGTGGTAGTGACTGCGAAGTCACTCCACACAACTGTGTCGACAGTTCAGTGCAACCTGCCACTGCCACTGCTGAGTTTCAAAAGAACTTTTTGTTCAATCCATTCGCTTGTAACAAAGCTCGCCGAAGACTCTTGCCAGACGAGCCATGGTTGAGGCAACTGACTTCTCCAGAAAAGGGAAATCTCTGTCCGGCAGCAGCATGGACACTTTCGCCAAGGACCGCATGTGCTTGTGACACTTCAGGAATGAATGAACAATGAACAATGGTCAAAAGCTAAAACTAAGGAAGTGTTCGAAGCTGAAACCTGCGCACGTTCGTTCACAAGCTCCCTACTTAGCACAGAAGAGTCTGCTTCTGCTTCGACTCGCTTGGCCGGTCACGGCTGCTGTTTACCCCATGTTGCACAGCTAAAGGCTGGCCGTGGCAAGGAGAACTGGCTCTGCTCCAGAGCCTGTGCCCACAGTGGCCCACAAGCTTTCACTGCAGCTGGCAACTGTCAATCCACTTCATGCTCCTAGTGACTCCTAGTAGCTTTCTTGCTCCTAGTAGCGATGCCAGGAGCCCCTAGTAACTTCTTGTTCCTAGTAGTAAGGCCAGGAAGCTCCTGTGTTTCTCTTCCTCTCCTTCTGTTCAAATGCTGCATGGTTTGGCTTCAGGCATAGACATCATAGACTAACAGCAAATATCAACACATCATGGTAGATAGTGGGTTTGTCAATACCTCGCAGAAAAATCTTCAGGAAGCAAGCGTGTGCAATGCGTTGAAAAATATTGTATTTACTCACATTACAACTCGTCATCTGTCCGCCATATTGAGCATTGACAAGGAGACGTTGCCAGCGCAGCTCAAGTGGAAGAAGCGCAAGGATGATTTCGGATGGTCTGAGTGAAGGACGCTACTAGTAGCTCCTGGCATCGCTACTAGTAGCGAGAACGCTACTAGTAGCTCTTGAGTGCAGTGGAGCTCTTCATATTATCTATGAGTCTCTGACTGAACTGATGCACATCTCAGCGCTTAGTTTTGAAAAGCATCAACTGACATGGCAACTCGGGAGGAGGGTTTCCTTTGGACTGGGGCTTGACCACGGTGCAACCTGTCTCACCCACTTCGCATCAGGCTTCATATGGCCTCATGCTAGCAGCCGACCTGATGACCTGTCGTCTATGTCAAGTGAACATCATGTTCCTCAAGATTCATGTTGTTTGGCTCTTTTAAGAATTCCTAGCCCAACTAAGTCCCGGCATGTCACAATTGATTAGGGCTCAAATGGCAGTTCCAAGAATGGCTCCAGTGGTGAACTCTCTCTTTCAATGCACCGAATTCCAAGCAAATCTGTGATCAGCCCAAGGTTGCTTCGGCACTGTAGTGAATGTACCTGGTGAGTAGAATGCATTGCAAATGCTGGACATTCGAGAAAAAATAAGGAAGGTAAAGCCCCTCCAATAAAGGCCATTAAAGGAGCCCTTCCTTTCTTTTTTCTTTATTCATTGAATCTGCATACTGAAGGTGGAGTGGAATCTGCTTCTCGCCGCAGAGTGGAGTGGAATGCCTAGCTAATCTCGATTGATCTGCCCAAACGTCAGGGTGCAAGTAGCCATCCTTTGCCCTGTGCATGGCATATACCTGCGAGACGATGCCACTTGTGAGGCATGGAGCTTCGGAGGGTCAGGGCTTTACAACGGTAGAGTCAATGCAACTTCAGCAACTAAGTAGCTGAGCAAAGGAAACAACGAAAAGGCTTTCCCAACTGTTGAATTGCAGCAATGCTGGACCTTGATGTATCACTCAAGCCCCTCCTATGAAAGCTAGAATCCAGGTCCTTGATTCACATTTCTTGTTGTAACCCGTGAGAACCTGTGCCATTGTCAATTGCTCAACTTCACGCCATCGGAGAACGCGTTGGGTCACTTGGCTAATGGTATCGCTGGTCTTTGCAGACGTCTTGCTGTTGTTCAAGAGCAAGTACAAGGTCTGGAGAATGAGTGAATGGAATCAGCTGATGACATGCACAATTCACGGCAGGACTACAATTTTCATGTGAAAAATATGTTGCACAAATGTTCATAGTATAGTAATAGTACATATTTAGTTCACTCAAATTGCCGAAGCAAACCTACCCTCAAGATTGAAATTACCTGTTGGTAGGTCAATATCTTGAGCTCAAATCAGGTGACCATTCAATGAGTTGATGCAAAAGAAACAGTTACTGTACAAAAAGAGGAAACATGAAGCAACTGAAGCATAATTACAAATTTACAAGCATCACCGTGCCATGAACCTAACTTAGGTGGGGCAAGGTGAAATTGAGTCGAACATGAAGCCCATTGAGATGACAATATGCCAGGTTATTGTATGCAAGATTGTGAATTGTGAAAGAGTAACTGAAGCTAGTAGCTTCTTGCTCCTAGGTCCTAGGAGTAAGGCCAGGAGCTACTGTACTAGTCGCGTCCTTGCTCCTAGTAGCGATGCCCTTTGCTACTAGTAGCTTCTTGCTCCTAGTAGCAAATACTACTAGCATTGGGCTATGCGGACCAGAAATTAACATAAATGAGCTACAGCCTTTGTTTGCACCGAAGGATCTCTCCCCGTCCATTGAACTGGTCATATTGAGCCAGAAATGTCATGCATCTGTAATCCGCGTTGCTAAGCATACATCGGCTCTTACAAGCCAGGCACAACTGGGGTTGTGCAGGACTTTGCCGTGCAAGTTACAAGTGTTCGATTCGTAACTCTCTATCAGCAATTGGTGCTCCTGGTCAGGTCCCGTTCTTTGAGGACTTCCTGTGGCAGCAATGTGCTTGTGAATGATGTACCTGAAAATCACAAGCTTCAGAGCAGGCGCTGTAAATAGAGCAAACAACATTAATTGATTGCACGGTCGCGAGAATTATATTACATTAATTATGTATATATGTAATTATATGATCAGTGGCAAACAAGCACCGTACTATTCCAACAATAGCATCAATCCAATCAAATGCTTGCTTTGGCGTAACACTCCTCCGCTAGCAAATAAAGTGCTAGGCAAGAAACTTGAACTCTCCGCACAGCATTGTACCAGGCCTCAAGGGATCTGGTAAACGGAAGCAACATGATCCAAAACTTCTACACAAACAAAAGGACCATCATTCCAAAACTGCACACGGCCTCGGTCACGTCATGGAGAGAAACAAAATGCCTTCTGCAAGAGATTGACATGTAACATCATGTAACAATACTTACCTTGACCAAACATATACAATGTGCAGTCTAAACCAAACCGGTGAGATAGTACTGACGTGCCCCTACCTAATGGACGTAGCTGGCTCCATGTCAGACCTATATCTTGACCGGCCGACTGACCTGAGAGAAATCTAAGCGCTGGACACCAGAAACTTCTTCTTCTCGATCTCCGGAAGAACTGTCTTTGCAGCCTAACACTTGTGATGCTAAGATTGACCACAAGTGGGAGAGACTCTATGGATTTGGCATCTGAGATCACTCTCTTTTCATGGATGCTCTGATCTGCACATCGCCTTGGCACAAATCACTGGAATACGGTCCGGGTACCTGAAGCATGGCTAGGCGTTTGAAGTGTGTTGTGACTAGGACGACTCATCAGAAAACCCTCGAGCACTTTTTCAGGAGCTTTTTCACCTGATCACAGGTCTCATCCTTTCCTTGGAACGAACTTGAGAAAAGTGCGGTCTAATGATTATTACAAAAAACATGTCGGGACAAATGCACAACACCTCCAATCGAGTGGTCAAGGAAACAGAAAAATGATGTCTTTCTTGTGTTTTCTTGCCGTGTGTCTACGGCAGCTGTGATTTGGCTGACATCTGCATTTCTCAATACTACATGGCTGTTTGTCTTGCTTTAAGTATTCCTTCAATCCCCATACCCGCCAGGCGATGATTGCTGGATTCGACTCTGCAGTGTATCGCTTCGATACCTACAGTTAAACCATGTTATATGAACCCATCCAACTGGAGGCTGTGGCTGTAAGGAAGTATCGCCTAGGTTCCTCAGGAGCCCAAAACAGCAAAACATGAGAGGTGGTCACATTTTCCTTTTTTGTTGGCTATTGCTTTTTGGTGACTCCCTTAACATTTGCCAGGTTTTGAAGCATCCCCAGAAAAATAATGCAACCCTCTAAAGCACGTGTGATGGTCACAGGTTTTGAAAGAACTTCATCTAAACCGTTTAAGGACGAGAAACCAACAAGAAGCTTGCCCCTCAAAGCTTGATCAAAGCGCAAGCATGTACAATTGGGGCACCCAAACATATGCCTCGATTTAGAATAGACTATATATATATATATTATATACAGTAGTCTGCTTGACTCAGACCAGTTGCATATACAATGCTGTTGCTATTGAAGCATAAGCACAACACATCGCACTCTTGCAGCTGAGCCTCCCCAATCAAACATAGTCACCAACCGCTCGCCCCAGAGCTTAGAAGGGGAGCCAAAAAGCTGAAGGCAAGCCGGACAACCCTTCTGACCTGAAAATCTCCAGATGCAACTGATGCAACAGGCATCGCTACTAGGAGCAAGGACGCTACTAGGGGCTCCTGGCCTCGCTACTAGGAGCAAGAAGCTACTACAAACAATTTTACACACCCAATACGCTGCAGTGATACAGTGACCTCAGGTGTCCATTGTCCATTTATATATAGAGAGAGAGAGTCTGATCCGTTGGACTTTTATGTTTGTGTGGAATCCTCTCCTGCCAGCCCATGTCAGAGAGTTGACATGTTTGACTTTTGTGTGCTTGGCTGTTCTTTCATCAGGTTTGAAAGTTACAATAAACAAGTTACACCGCGAAACACATTGGTCATTGGTCCAATTTGTGTCGGAAAAAGAGATGGCTTGAGAGCACCCGTGGAATCTGCTTGGTTCTGCTTGTAAACGGCTGCGTAGCTCGTCTTCTTCTTCGGCTTTGCATCTGTGCTGGTAAAATGGCAGGCACTTGACATGCTTCAGCAAAGGAACATTTCAGTGGAGTCAGTGGAGGAGGTCCTCAATGTTCCACCTGTCTTGACTCGATCACATTCGGTGCCTGCTCCAAATTATATACCGTACCTGATCAACATGCATGACTCTTCAGCCGATGCACTTTAAAGCGATGAAGCGGGCAACCCTTAGGTTTGCCAACACTAAGCCAATCCGCATCAATCCGCTGTATGCCTGTCCATACACACATGAAAATCACCCAAGTCTGCACGAGTGTCTTCGGAAACTTCAAATTAAAACAAAGCTACCGGTTATCTCTCTATGGCAGCCTGCTCCAAACAAGCAGACCTGCCACCAACGCAGTCTTATCCAGCCTTGAATTTCATGGATCAATCTTATCACTTGGGAGATGCTGAGCTGTGAAACGAGCCTTGAGCCTTTCATCGCCCAAGACTGCTCAGCGAAGGAGAGAGGCAGTGACAAAAGTAAGGCCAGGCCAGGAAGTCTAAAAGAAAATAACACCTATAACAGTGATGGCCTCCAACCTAATAGCTATGGCACCAACCTAAAATTCAGGACGGCTGCAAGAGCATGTTCCTCACTGCCCCTCCATGCCGAAAGTTGCTGTGAACTCCTGCAGCGGAGAAAAAATGGCAGTTGGCTGGACTTGACAGAAAGAACTTGGGTGGTTTCAGGGAACAAATAACTTTAGACAAGACCTTCCCCTGACGCACTGGTAAATCAAAGCATTTCCAATCCCAGTTGAACCTGTATGACATCTCAAAATATCAAAGTTCTCGCTTTTGGTTCAATACAACATCACATGTGAACATTTAGAGCCACGAGCTTCCTTTGGCAAAGCTTTTCGAGCGTTTGTAAAGAAAACACAAACATTTTGTTTGGGCGGTCATTTACTGGGCTCTTTTTACGTGGGCGACAGGACCGAAAGGTTCAAACTCCCAAAGCTGATACAAACTTTTTTGAGGTGCCATGTGATACGTATACACACACCGTTCACACCATCCTTCATGAAGGGTATTTTTTTTGTTAAAAATTAATACGGTGATATACGGTGTGTACTTCTACTCTGCCTTCTCCTTGCTCATGTTCTCGGTGTGCAAAAGCTCATTTTTCCCGCTATAAGTTTCTTGTATCCTCAAAAATATTCCAAGTACCTTGATACAAACTTTTCCAGTCCAACATACCCTCAGTGCTCTAAAAATCTACTAATGTGCATATGTTGGCTTGAAGCACCTTGAAGTGAACCGTCTTTGTTCCCGTCTGAGGGTCTCTTGTCAAGGAATCTTAAGATGCCTGTATCCTTCATCATGAAGTCTTCGTATCTACAGTAAAGACTACCTTTTATCATCCAAGGCACCGTTTCAGTTAGAGCCTAGTCCATTTCCTTCCCCAATCTCTTTCATTGAGCTGTTTTCTCTTTCAAAAACACTGCTGAACAGTATGCTTGTCAACAAAAGCCGCATTCCTCAATGGAAATCTTGTCTATTAGGGATATAGAAGAGTTCCATCCTCTATCGCCACAGCACCACATCCTTCCAAAGGTCTCTTCCTAGAAAAGAAATGCGCTGGGCTTCAAGCATCTCATCCTTTTATGACAAGTTTGAGGGGCTCAGCCGAGCGGGCTCAGCCTGTTTGAGCGTATCATTATCATTATATATAACATATGTTCTGTCGTTTACCATAGTTTACTTGATTCAGTGCTTTCATCAAGAAAACTTCACCTGCAAAAAGTATCAAACAGTACTCCCCTAAAGGTGACATGTCCTTCATGGAAAACACCAAAATAACTGCCAGAAACCTGTGACCCCTCCTGGTTCTTCAAATCAAAGTCTGCATAACAGAATAGATTTAGACGTGCCGGTGCCCCTGTCAAAGGGATGATTTGAACCTGGATGGTTCATTGGACATGTTGCAAGCGTCATCAAAACTGAAAGGTCCAGTGTCCCGATCCTTTTCACAAATGGTTCTAAACGACGTTGCGGGGATGTTCAACTTCAACACGAAACGATTATACATATCAGACTCAAAAAACTCCGAAGCGGGAGTGTCTAAGTCTCCACTCACGCCTGTCCCTGACCTTATCAATTTAATATTGCCCCAATGAACTGCGGCAAACGGCAGCGAGTAGACAACGTCATTGCATAAACACATGTTGAAAAACGTTGCGCAACATCTGAGACCAAGAAGAGTCCCAAGAATTGCTGAACAAAAGAACATGAACGCTTCGAAGCACTGCGCATACCAGGAGAAACAAGCAAACTGTAGGTCTACCGGCCCAATAATTGGTGTCCACAAATGCAGTTGCTTGGTCATGGAAAAATGCAACAGTGCAAAAGAAAGGCTTTGCGCCGTAAGTACTGTACAATGAAACCAGGTCAAGCACCCAACACATACAAAAAAATGCATGAGGCTGAGGCTCCTTGTAATATTTGCGTGTACTGTATATATATAATATATAAATTCATACTGTTCCCTCCCTTGGTGGCGCATCCGTTAGCCCCTCCAGGATTTCTTAAAATTATTCTGGGTACCTGAGCAAATAAATGGAGACACTTGCAAGTGTTGAATTAAGCCATAGCACGCTTGTTGATTCAGGGAGGTATGAGTAGGGGTAGAGTAGAGTCTATTATATTAATTGGGGGGACCTTAACCTGCGTTTTTGTTAAAGAATTGGGCACGTGCCGTCACGTGCCACGTCAACCACCTCACCATGTATATTCACAAATATTCACAATAATTACTTCACTAGTGGTTGACTCCTGTCAGACCTCTGTTTTCGTTTCTTCTTCCACAACTGCCAGAAATTAATCAAGCCCCCCCAGTTCGCAGAGCAAACCTCCAAATTATCCTACCAGTAATTAATTGGATCCCCTGTTGCGTACGAGCGGTTCTTGTTGATTTGCCTAAACTAATTTGTCAATATAACATGTTTGATGGGTATACCTCAGCACTTTTCAACAACATTGAACAACTACTGTAATGAGAAATAATTCGCTAACTCAGTAGGGGACCCTGATTAATTTCCTGAGGTTGGGTAGATCTATTATATGCGATCCGTGAAACAATTTCGAGGAACATCACTAGCCTCAAACCGCGCCTCATGCTCTTTCAAGTCAGCGGGGCTCACACTCGGGCGCACCTTCTCCAGGGCAGCCTCGATTGGCTGAGTTTGTTTCGTGAATCTCCCAGCGTCGATTGGCCAAAGGTAGTGCCAAAGGTTTCCTTCACAAAAATCCTGTTTCAGCCGTTGACTCTCGAAACCTTAGTCTGGACCTGTCAAGCCACTGCAGTTCTTCGTTGTCCGTTGACAAAACATGCTTCTGGAGCGGACATGGCAAGCATGAACACATTCTCCAGAACTGTCCACGGGCCTCAAAGTCGGAGGGTATGACATCCGGCCTGGCATGTAGCTTTTGACAACTAGAAGCTACTAGGAACAAAGGGCATCGCTACGCAATATCGCTACTAGTAGCTCCTGGCATTTCTGCTATTAACAAGAAGCTACTAGGAACAATTGGAGGTTACTTTTTTACCGGCCTTGAAACTCCACTCAGTCGGTAACCTGCTAACATGCAGCTATCCTCTGCCCCTTTTGGGGCACCATAATGTGACAACAAATCCATTGCGGCGCCCAAATGGGCCCAAATTGCCAAAGGGTGGATATGAAGAGCCTGTACAATACAACGGCAAACAGTATTCATCTGGGCTATAAAAAGGCACTTCCGAACCATGAGGTGGACGCAAACCGGCTCTTGAGCCCTGCAGCGAGGGTACAAGATTGACTACAACGTAGCTAGGAGGTTCGCATGGTGTATGAGACAAAAAAAACTTCGGAGATGGCCTCTCCTAGTGAACACCAGCAGCGCGTTCTCCGTTTTCTACATTGCACACACCAAAGATTGCCAAAACTAGCCATCAAGACGTGACTAGCAGCTACTGTAGCTGGGGGAGGCTCCAGCACCATTTACAGTAGAGTTCACTAGTGCCTCGTGCTCCGGAATTGGCAGTTGATGGAAGTTTGGCAGTCTTCTTGGCATTTTGAACCGGCCTATGTACAATACCTTGCACGCTGTTTACACACATACATTATATTACATCATTTATATATATATAACTAACATATACTAACATTGCATTGCATTGCATAACAAAACATACATACATTACTATACCATACATTACTATTGCCATTACCATTACCAACATTACATACATTACATGAATTACATGCGTTACATGACTCACATACAATACGATACCCTGCATTACATTACACAAAAAGAGAGAGAGAGAGAGAGGGAGGGGGCGATAAAGAAAGACTGCCATTCATGGCAGACTTGAATTCAATGCTGTCAACACCATTTAAATCCACATAATATAGCCCACTGATGGTGTGAATCTTCACGTGTCAACTCCAAAAAACCTGGCCGTGTCTGCAGGGTCGTGCAAGTAGGACCATGGTCTTCAAAAGCAGAGTCGGCCAGCAATGAGCCGAAAAAAATGGGAGCCCGATGAGCTCAAGGCAAACATGTTCACAAACTTGCTTGAAGGGGCTGTCTGTTAAGTTAAATGACTGTAAGGCAATTACAAACAGGTCAGAAAAGCGACAGGAGCTCGCTTGCCGGGACCTGGCCCGCAGAATGTATGCAAAATCCAAATCCAACAACACTGGCCAACAAGCAAACCGAATGCCAAAGTCAGCAAATCCAAAAGCTATGGCAGCACTCGGTGTTGATCCAAACCAAGCTGACTGAAGGTACCTTCACCTAGTATACTACTCGGCTCAAGCTTAAGTGCAACCAAAATCGCTTTTGATTTCTGGTTGCAACGCTACTTTCTGGTACTTAGAAAAAGCCTAAATAGGTCTATGTATGTCTATGTAGTGTGCCGGGCTGGACATTGCATCTTGGACTGAAAACTTGACAAATCAATTATGGGCAGGATCCCAGCTAAGGTTGGAGCATCCATCAATTTCATGGCGACAGCGCCGCCGTCTCCGGGGCTGCAAGGAGTCCAGAAAGTCTTGTCTCCTGGTCCGCAGTATGTCTGGTCGGACCAGGTACTCACTCCAGCTAAAACAGTTCTAAGAGCTCCAGGTATAGAAGTCTAGGTCGCTGCCCGAGCTATTCTGTAGCCCGCCAACATTGGAGCAGAAACACGGTTGAATTAATTGGCTGGCACATCGCACAAGAACAACAAACATCGTGACCTCATAAACGGCTAGTGCACCCATCCTGCCAAAGCTCTCAAAATGAAAAGTTTGCAGAAGCTCTCCTAGTATCTCCGAGTTATGCATTCTAAAGACTTTCTGCACCAAAGCAATTTCACCGCTTTCTGCCTTTCTGGACTCTCTTGAAGGCCATTGCACGCTGACAGCGTCTCACTGGCCTCTGGATGAAATGGAGCGGTGCATAGAGTGAAGAAGTTGGAACGCGCGCACGAACTCTGCAGTTGCTTGTCGTTGTACTGTCTTGAGCGAAAGACAAGAAAGCAGGTTATAGCTATATATGGTGTATGTATGCCAATGACAATATGCTAATTCTCAAAGGGATTGCACTATCATTCCAGCGCTCTTGAGAAAACAACAAACTTTTGGTGGGAGGGGCACTGCCAGCCAGGTGTTGATTACAGGAACAAATCATTGAATCTTGAACATCATCGGACCATGCACTTCATTGACCATCATTTAACTGGGTACGGAGATTCCTTTCTTCAGGTATATACAAAAGTAACATACAGTAGAATATCCATTCAGAAGCAGCAGTCCGAGCGCATTGCAGCACATTATCAAGAAAGAACTTTGAAAGAACCAAAAATCAAGTGTGTAGGCGACCCAGTTTGGCTTGTGGATTCATTGTCCAGCCAGTTCATGCCTAACAGAAAGTAGACCCGCAAAAGCTGCAAGAGGGCTTTGCCAGTTTGTTTGCGTCTGGCCTAGACGAAGCTTTCAGCTCCCTCATGCAAATCCCACCAATAATATTGCGGCCAAACTGCTCGAAAAGGGCATCTCGCGTGAGGATTGAAATGTCTGCACCTAGGCAAACACTCCAGTTCGAACACACCAAATGGCACACCGAATGGCACCTCCCCGTGTTCGCGAGATACGTCCTTCTTCGAGGCCCCACTCTTTTAGTGAAGGTGCGTTTTCAATGTGTTCCCTGTTGACATTGACTAGTGTTGCGTTTTCCCCATCTCACAATCTCACAGAGTGATAAATGGAAAGGCAAGCATGGGGCACCATAAATGTAACATAATGTAACCATCTTTGCACAGCCTGTCCATGCTACGCATTGCATATATCAAAAATCAAATCAATACTGTAGGGGTTACCGCTGCCGCTACTGACGTGTACTTTCCACTGCCAAGTTGCTTCGCAAGCAGACATCAATCCTTTTCAGCAAATGTTGGACTTTTTCAGGGCAGTAAACAAGTTCTCTTCACCAAGAGCAAAGGTGCAAAGGTTGGAAACAGCATACCTTTGTTCGTCCAAACGGTGCGGGATCGGACACGATTTGTTTTGTTTTGCAACAAAGTAAACTAATGCGCACACAGGATTAAGTAACCACCCTAACCACCCCCCTATTAATCAATCCAAGCTCGACCCCCCTAATACTGAACTAATTTAAAACCTAGATTTCAACTTTGGCATCACCCTACTATGTTTTCCTGGGCAGAAATCTTCCCCTATTAGTCAATCCCAGCTGCCCCAGAAACAAAAAACATATTGTTTACTGTTATATATTTATAGTGTTTTCTGATGTACTTTCTTTTTGGCTAGTATCCAATATCTTCTGGTCCCTAAAAGCCTCTCTAGCAAATGTGTTTCATTTCCCTTATTAAAACTCTATCAAAAACTTAACGGTTTCTAGCTCACAAAGGGTACCCCTCTCACAGGCCTCAGTGTTCACACATAATCATATCAACCATCATCCATCATCAGGTCATCATCTTTATTGAGGGGATGTGATCCCCCAATACCTCCAATCTCAAACCTTGTTGACCTTGAAGGGGCGGGAGGCCCGTTGATTAATGCGGTGTTGCCATTAAATAACATAGTACCAAATAGTTTCCACACTTTTAAATCGTTTAACCTGTTGGTGGAAGGGATCGAGTCCAGCAACGCCGTGCCTTGTACGCGGTGATTTAGCTTGCCTCCGCTGTATAGGGGGCAAACTACTGAATTGCCAAAGCACCACTGAAGCCCTCAGTTCGAGCCGCAATGGCCCTGATGTCCTGCTCATCAAAAGTTGATGCATCAAAATGAAACACATGTTGACATTAATTGATCAGCCCAAAGCATTGCCAACTTGTTCTGTCTAGTAGCAGAATGTTCATGCAGATTGGGCAAACAGACCCGACATAAGTGTATTGCACAGGACAGTGCATATTCTCTTGCCTGCAAAGAACCAGCGGTCTAGATTTAGATATTGTTTGGTTGGTATCTCACTGAAAGACAGGGCAATCTTCTCGCAGCTCTCCTCTGCGGAACAACTGTGTGGTGTGTCTCCTTGGACGGACGAGTCACAGGACGCAAAACGAGTTGCATAAGTCAAGAGCAATAGACGAAGAGTGACAAGTGCTGACGAATTCAATCTCAGAACCCCCCCCACGAATTCAATCTCAGCATTTTTTGGGCTAAGCCCTTGGCCCAAGTGCAAGGTAAGCAACCGCACTCTCGCTTCCAACTCCTGTCAGGGAAAGTTTGCTACCAAGTCGGTCGATGAAACAAGCAGGAATGAGCGATGAAATGAAAGTTTTTTCTTGTGGACAATACCAGGAGATAATGATAGTAAAGGATTCTTAGAATCCTTGTGAACAATCCTTTGCTTTACTTAGGGGTCAGAGTAATTCAGGGTTTGGTTCCGCAATGGAGGAGACGGCTTTTCACAATTGTTGATATCGCAGTTTAATGAGGAAATTCCTAAAGCAAGTACCAACAGGTTCCTGGTGCTGGAGATTCCAAGCTATGATTTGTTTTTAATGACTAAATCAAAAGGGAAGGAAATGAGAAGGAATCAGCCAACGCAAGAATAAGCAGTGCACAAACCAAAAAAGCAATTTGGAAACCGCCAATGCTCAATTGCGAAACAACCAAAACATGAGAAACTAATAAACTATGAATGAGGAACAAGAATGCTGGTCTTGACACCGCACCGCTTCATGCCGCTTCAAGTAACAAGAAACTACTAGTAATAAAGGGCATCGCTATTAGGAGCAAGAAGCTACCAGTAGCTCCTGGCATCGCTACTACTAGTAGTAACAAGAAGCTACTAGGGGCTCCTGGCCTTGCTACTGGGAGCAAGCACGCTACTAACTGGGTAACAAGAAACTGCTAGGGGATCCTGGCCTTGCTACTGGGAGCACGGACGCTAGTAACCAGGGGCTCCTGGCATCGCTACTAGTAACAAGAAGCTACTAGGGGCTGGCCTTGCTACTGAGAGCAAGGACGCTAATTACTAGGCGCTCCTGGCATCGCTACCAGTAACAAGAAGCTACTGGGGGGTCCTGGCCTTGCTACTGGGAGCAAGGACACTACTAACTAGGGGCTTCTGGCATCGCCACTAGTAACAAGAAGCTACTAGGGGCTCCTGGCCTTGCTACTGGGAG